TGATTTAAAATAATGGGAGGAAACAGATTCCAAGAGGAGGAAGAGGCCTCATATGTTAATCTCTTCTTTATTCATTAAGATCAAAAATGTTTTGTTTCTTTCTTTTTCCCTCTGCTATGCCCACAGCATGCTGGCTGTTGCCATACTGGAGTGAAGTTGAGCCTGTGGTGCATGCAGCCTAAACTAGAGTAAAATGTTAATTTTTAAATCATTCATTTGATCTGTGCAGCTCCCCTGGAAGACTCCTTGGGGTGATATCAGTAGAAAGGAGCTCATGGGGTCTCCCTTATTGGAAGTTATGTGTGCTTTGTGTTCTTGTTTTTGATTTTTTTAAAATACTGATGCCAGCTGAATATTTGCCTGCCAGTGCTGTACCACAGACTGAAAACATTCATTTCAAAACAGGGAGGTATGAGCTATTGCAATTAATTTATTAGATTACCAAGCTGTACGTTTTAACATAATCATATTTTGCATTACTGTGACTCTGCTGTTGATGATTGTGACCAACAGGAGAAAAGACTTCCTGTTTTTTCTTTCTATGATTATTTGGTCAAATGGTGTAGTCTGAAAAGTCGGATAGGTGTGATAGTATTTCATTTGAATCTGTATCAGTGTTGATTTAAACACCTTAGCATTTTTATATATTTAAATTTTTCATACTTCAGATTTTTTTATTCTGTGTTTCCAGTGCTGAGCATCATAAGTAATACACACATACACAGACACACACACATATTTTGGTAGTTTTTAAGTCAGAATTGGCTCCCTGGTCTGATTTAATGAAGATAATGCTAAAAAGGTTCTTTTCTTCTACCAGTTAAAGTAGAACTCCAACATTATAACATCTCTGAGTTAAATCTCTAGCAGAGCAGTCATACTGCTGGTCCATTTTGCGTTGACAGTAGGAAGTTTGGGAGAGACATCAATCACAACAGGTAGTCCTCTAATTGCCACCATCATTCAGCCCAAAATTCTGTTGCTAAATGAAACAGCTGTTAAGTGAGTTTTGCCTCATTTTATCACCAGGGGTGGGATTCAACCGATGCTACTACCGGTTTGGTGATTATGTTTTGCGCACGCATAAGTCTGACGCGTGCTATGCGTGCATGTAAAAAAAAATCAGCTGTGCCACCTGGACAGTTGAAAAGCACTGTGCGTGGGTGCGCAGCATTTGAAAAGCCTCTTTTTTCCTGCTTTCTCAACCTCAGCTGTGCCACGCAAAGCAGCTGAGGTTGAAAAAGCAGGAAATAAAGAATAAGTAAGAGCCCAGGCAGGCGGGTGGACCAAACAGCACCAAACACAGAACCGGTTCGGTGTCTGCTGCTCTTCAGAACTACTGGTTCTGTAGAGCCGGGCAGAACTGGTAGCATCCCACCCTCGTTTATGACCTTTCTTTCAACAATGGTTAAGTGAACCACTGCAGTTGTTAAATTAGTCACATGGTTGTTAAGTGAATCTGGCTTCCCCATTGACTCTGCCTGTCAGAAGGTTGCCAAAGGGGATCGATCACCTGACTCTGGAACATTGTAACTATCATTAATACATGCCAATTGCCAAGTGTCCAAATTTTGATCATGTGACCAGTGGGATACTACAATGATCAAAAGTGTGAAAAATGATCATAAGTCACTTTTTCAGTGTCAGTGTAACTTTGAATAGTCATTAAATAAAATGTTGTAAGTTGAGGACTATCTGTACACTGCCTGCCTAGATGTTTTGTTTTGTTTATAAAACAAATTCGTCCACTTTTCAAGGTCAAGAAACACACCCCAAGGATTCCAGGCAGGGTACTTTATTATCATAAAATGCATTAACAGTCCTGCTGCATTCCACTCCTGGAAGGTCTCTCAGCAGGGGTGTCAAACTCACGGCCCACAGGCCAGATACGTCACATGCTGGCTATGCCCACCCCCAGTTTAGCAAAGGGGGAAAAAGTCGAGATAAATCACATGATGATGACATGATGATGTGAGTTTGACACCCCTGGTCTACACGAATGGGTTGTCTCCTTCTGATTGTTTCATTGGGCTGAACAACTGTCCACCCGCCCGCCTGGGCTCTTACTTATTCTTTATTTCCTGCTTTTTCAACCTCAGCTGCTTTGCGCGGCACAGCTGAGGTTGAGAAAGCAGGAAAAAAGAGGCTTTTCAAATGCTGTGCACCCACGCACAGTGCTTTTCAACTGTCCAGGTGGCACAGCTGATTTTTTTTTACATGCACATGATGATGACACATGACGATGACATGACGATGCGAGTTTGACACCCCTGGTCTATAGGAATGGGTTGTCTCCTTGTCATGTTTCATTGGGCTGAACAACTGTTTACCTCACGCATCTCCTTCTCAAAGCCAGAGTTAATTCCTTTTAGAAATTGTAAGCCACCTCTAGGATTGATACACATTTTCTGCTGAGCTGAGGCTGCTGCGGTGACTGGGGAAATATCACATGAAGCAGATTATATAACTGCTTCCTCCATATTCCCAGCCTAATGCTTATTGTGTTCTTTTCTAGCCTTGTTGACTCTACAGTGTCAAAGGTACTAAATAACTTAATATCATTTGGAAGCCATGAAGTATTGCAAAACTACTGGGCATTTTCCCAGAATGAATTAACAAGATGTGATATAATTATATGAATACCTTGTTAAGTAATTTATCTTAATTAAATTTTTCAAGAGATTGTTGTGACAAATTTGAAAAACAAGCTTTTGGGCAAGCTGCCCTGATTAAATTAAACAATCTTTCCCTATAACATGTTCAGTTGGAAAGTACAATTTGATTTACTTTTTTAAGCACTCATTATCATAGTCAACATGTTAAATCAGTAATGAGTTCATCTAATAGAACATCCATAGATTTACAGTAGACAAGAAATAAGTTGAAATTAAGTATATAGAATATCTGAAAATATTGAATTTCTTTTGAATATCTTGTTGCTATATTGCTTTGACTATAGCCAGTGTTTCTGAATAACTCTTAAAACATTTCTGCTTCATATCTACTACTAAATTGCAATTTTTCCCCAAAATATTTCTGTTTTTTAAATTTTTATATGTATAATTATTTTTGTGCTATGGTTCTTTGGGCAAATGACAGCTGAATTCAAATTATTTGAATGCACAATAAAAAATTCCAATAGAGAACCTGTTAATCTTCATGATAATCTTGCTGCCAGCTACAAAATCAGTGTATTTGCTCTCATAATAAAGATTATATGTAAAAAATATTGTTTTCATTTCCCATGTCTTTCAGAAGAAACATTTTAGTTCTCATTTATAAAATAAAAAGTAACCCAAACTGCATGTTATGATAGATAAATTAGTCTTAATTTGGGGCCATATCAGTTTCATATATGAATCATAATTCCATTGGGGGTTTTATAATTATTTTTAGAGAAATAATGTATGTGTATGTGTGAGTGTCTATATAAAATTTCAAAATAGATATTTTTGTAGATATTATTTTTGAAACCAAGAAGGATTTCAAGATTTAGAAAAATATTTTATTTAGAAAAATAAAAACTTGCTATCAAACAAAAAACCCATTCCTTCACATGCATTCTCTAGTCTAGAATAATATAAATCATATAATTTCTCTTCTAAAGGTAAAACAAAGGAAATCCTCAAATACTTGAATTTTATAAAGAGATAGAGATAGTATACATAGTGTATATAATAGATAATTTAATTGTCTAACTTTAATATTATCATAGAAATTATGGAATTAACATGCCTGACTATAGCCAGTGTTTCTGAATAACTCTTAAAACAGTTTGCTCAGTCTCTTATGTATCTTTACTGATCTCTTATAAGAGATCTTCACTGATTTGTTCTATGCTACTTTTATAAATTGTGAATTTCTGAATATAATATAAAACAAGCAGTGGCTTATATCAGTTGTTGTGGATTCCAAAATGACTCTTGACAATAAACTATAAAATATTTAGCCTCAGTACATTGCTGATGTTCACTGCTTTATACAAATAAGCAAACCAATTAGAATTCCTGTTGTCAGATTATATTTTCCCAATTATTTAGTCCCAAGGACAGTATCTACAGTGGATTTGTTCATACATAATATAAGAAAAGCAGTTAGTGGAAAATAATTCTGTTTCTTCCTAAAAACCAAAAGCAAGAATCTGAATTGCATTAGTTCTGTGTACAAAAAATAGCAGAGCCAATATTTTCTTAACTTACTTTTATATATTGCAATTGAAAGAATTTGTAATTTATAGTTTCCTGCTTAAACTTACCTTAATTAGATGTTATTTAGTCACTGATCAGGTGCTTGAATTACCCTAGTATAAGTGCATTTTAATTAAAAATGTTCAATCAGATCTGTCAGTAACTTGAATATTAAGTAAGTATATTGTTAATATTGTGACCACATTCTTATAAAAATAAATCCGCATCAACAGTTTCATATTTTATCCTAAATTATTCTACCATTTGCAAAACTATGTTTAGGTAACTGCTGTGAAAAAGTATAAGCCAAAGAGCTATGTTATAAACATTTTAAATATTTTGGCCGAAAACGTGTTTTGAGGTATTTGTTGGAACATACTTTGTTCCAACAAAAGAACAACTTTGTTCTTTTCTTTTGCTATTGACATTCAAATAAAATTCACCTTACTTTTGCTGATGTTTGTGTCCATTGTTGCATGGCGAATAATACACATTTCAGTAGATGTCAGGCTGCATCCTGTACAGAGTTGTCCAAATGTATTTTCTTTACTGAGAACTTGATATTAGGGGGAAAATTTTTCTTAATTGAAATTGAAACAGCAGCAAAAAAGCATTTAAGCACTTGAGTTGGCAGGTTCTCTATGAATCAGACTTTTCCATCCTGAGCTCATTCAGGCATCTTAAAAATTCCAACTTGCATAATTTTCACATTGACTCAGAATCCTGAAAGATACTGTCCAATATATTTGGAAGTCATCAAATTGGGGACACTTACAAAAGCGTACTCTCTTGCCAAACTATCTTTAATGATCACTTTTGGTTCTGAAGCTCAATGAAATAAATGGTGCTTTGCAAGAAAGAAAGATCGGAATTTCCAATATTCTGTATAACGCCACACTTGTAATGGTAACTCTTGTGAAATAGCTTAATGATAAACCCAGATTAATATTTTAATTAATTCCATGTTTTTTTCACATTGCCTTCTTTTCTCACTTCCTTTGAAATACTTTACTACTGGAACATGTTACTAACTGTTTGTCCTTCTTTGAAATGAATAGAGAGACCCTGCAGGTGATGCTTCGATCTCTAAAAGTGCATTGTACTCCCGGATAAGCAGCTCAGAGGGGGAAAATGTCTCCAGTTTTCTTTATAAACAGCAAGACCTGGATACCGCCTTAAGAGTTACCAGGGAAGAGGTAATGGCAATTTTAATCAAGGAAGCCCTGCCTATTTGTCGGTAGGCATTTTACAAAAGCAACCAACCGCTTTCTGAAGTTTGTTCTCCCAATTAATTCATTGTAATAAATTTGAATGAATTAATGTTTTTTCCAGTTATTGATCAATACCAACACTGTGCTATCTTTTTTTAAGAATCAGTTCTGCTTATCTATTAAACAATTCAGTGAATGTGTTCCAGTTACCTTCTTTAGATTGCAGGTTCAATAAGGAACTATGTATTATTCTATATAGTAATATATATTAGTAGTAGTTTACAGAAAGCAAGAATTCGTTATGGAAAAGTTGATTGGGCAAATTTGGTGCATGTCCCATCTATTTTTGATCATAATTATTTGTTGAGAAAACACATGTATGGTTGGAATGTTTGTTATATATCTCTGTTCAGGATTTCTTCGTTTACCAAACAGAAGACTACATAAGAGCACCATTTTTTTTTTGTTTATATTATATATTCAAAGAGTTTGGTAAATATTTGGCAAGGCCTAGGTCAAGGTTTTTTTTTTTTTTTGTATAGTCTATGTATAGTTTTGTATATTTGGGAACATAGATATTTAGTAGTTCTTTACGTAGGTGTAATAGAGTTCATATAAAGGCATAAATAGGACTCACAGAATTTCTTATCTTGCAATTTTAAAACACATGGATTCAACTTTCAGAATTCCTCAGATAGGCTGGCTAGGAATTCTGGGAATTGAAGTTTGTATGACTTAAACTGGTAAGCTTGAGAAACCCTGAAGTACGACATGACTCAAAAAATAGCTTCCTGTGGATTCCAAAGCAATCCATTCTCAGCAAAAAAACCTATGATTTTTGAACAAATATAATTTGCTTGTATTTGTGCTTTGTCTTGGCTTAGCAAGAGCGAGAAATGCCAACAGATTTTTATTTTATAAAAATGGCATCTGCAGCAAACAGTGATGACATAGAAAAGACATGCACATGGTGACATCACATGTGCCACAATTATGTACTTGCATCCTGACATCTGACGCAAATATGTAAGTCACAATGTTTGTGTGATAACATAATTGTGCACGTTGCTCTCCTTGCCTTTCCTGTGGATGCCATAATTATAATTTTGTTATACTTTTCTATCAATCCTTAGAATGTTATGTAGCAAAGTATTTTGTCTTTTTTTCAAGCTGATACAACCTTATTTCTTCTCTTTTTTAAAAAGATAATTACAAAGGAAAGGATGATTTCAGAATGGAAAGAGAAATATGAAGAAAGTAGAAGGGAAGTTATGGAAATGAGGTTTGTGTAATTTTCTATGAATGTATACTTTTCAAGTTTATGAAGCAATTAAAAAATCTTATTTTTTAATCGTACTGCTGGTGCCAGAATCTTCAGTTTACCAAAGTAAATCTGTTAAAAGAAGTGCGTGTGTGTGTGTGTGTGTGTGTGTGTGTGTGTGTGTTTTCTCATAAGACAACATAATCTTCCATAAATGTGGAAATAGTTTTCCTTTATTTAGTTATTAAATAAATTCAACATTGGAATATGATACAACAAAAGACTGTGGTATTCAAGAACTACCTTACTGAATAGAAGAACAGGATATAAATCAAATCAATCAATCAAATAGTTTAAATAAATATATATTCTACCTCTTTCTGTTTGGAAATCTCACAAATAATCACAAGGTATCTTATCAAGAACTTATAAAATTCAAATAAGTAATTCAGTTGTTTAAATAAGATTTAATCAGCTAGCTTTCTTGGGAGAACAAATTCAAAATAGGACATGTTTTTAAAGTTTAAGGCAATCCTTTTAAATTGTTCTTTTGTTTTGTGGCATGTTTATGGCTATTTCATAGAATTAGAATATTGCAGTAGTTTCTGAAATTCAGAATGTAATTGCTAATTAAATTAATATATGTCTGTGGAAACTATCCATCTTTCCCCTCTGCTACCACTTTCTGGCAAAATCAGTTCAAAATATGATTAGTAAGAAGGCACAAGTTAGTACATAGAATGGCAGATCTATCTTGTACTGGAGAAACTACTAAAACAAGTCTGAATATGGAAGTCACAGACTATATGGAGTAAGTCACCTATTTTATAGCATAAATATGGATTTAACAGCATCCTAGCTGTCTCTGAATTAATCTTTTGATTTAAAAAATGCCATACTGTAACAACTGTATTCTGTCATAGATTTTGGGGCTAATTTGTAAGTGTTGGCATTAGAAAAATCTATTTCTGTGGATATGTGTTCATTTTCATATCTTTTCATCTTTTAATAGGAAAATTGTTTCAGAGTATGAGAAGACAATTGCTCAAATGATAGGTAGGTATTAATTTTCATGAAAAGAAAATATTTTTCTTATTCTGTTATAAGGAATATACAATAATAGAAAATTAGTCGTGCAATGAACAAAGATGATTTAAGAAACAGGTTTGGGAATTACAACACACCAGCAGGTTGCTATATGTGCCTGGAAGTCTTCTTGGAAATAACTGTCATTTATTTACTTATTTACTTAAGCCTGTTTCATTGCTTACAGTATTTATTTTGGAGAAAACATGCTCTTCTTAGCTGTGTCTCATGTTATATGTATGAATTAATTCAATGCAGAATTTCATCTCATCATATGTATTGTAACACTGTTCATTAAAAAAAAAACAAGTAAATGCCAGGAAGAACATATTTATTTGACAGCAGCCAATTATCAAACAAACCTAAATATATTATAGTCACTCCTTTGAGGCAGATATCAACCAAAACATTTAACAATACTGATATATAATATTTAGGCGTAGGAAATTGCAGTATTCTGGATATCATTGGTCTCTTAGAACAAATCACATTATTATGGCAAACATCACTGTATTTTAATTATATTATTGGTACTCATTGTAAGAATATATCAAAATATGACCAGCAATATAATCCAAATAAGTATAAAGTATTAAGCCTCATAAAAGTTTCTCACATCAAAGTAATACTTTAATTACTAGGGCTACTGTTTTTTGGTATTACTATTTTAAAGTTACTCTGTTGTATTATGTATTGTTGAGAATTTTGTTTGGCAGATTTTCCTGGGAGGTGTGATTTAGAAGAGTGGCATAAATATTTTAAACTTAAATAAAATCTTTAAAGAGTGTATAATATGGTTGAGTCAAAGGTAAATCATGCAAAGTTAGGGGCAACATAATTTTGTCCAACAGTCTGGCTTTATATTTACATGACCCTTTCATTTAAAATTAGTATTTATTTTTATTCTATAATTCCATATCTCTAGAATATTCTGGTGAACAGCTTCCAACATTTAATGTAGGTGATTTTTGTGAAAGAAATGCTGAATATGAGATAAAAGTGCATAAATTTTGCTCATCTTTTGCATTTCAATTCTGTGTATTAGTTTTCCCCAGGTTATTTTTTTTAAATTTTAACATTTGAGATAATTTTAATCTTGCAAATTGCAAATATTTCTTTTACAATTAATTTTTGGAGAAACTACACTAATTCTCCACCAGAGCAGTTATGTTAAATTGAGCCACCTCCACTGAATTTATACTGCAGGTTTGTGTGTTACCTAGACATAATTCCTCTTATGCAGACTAGAATATATTTCCAGTACAAGTATTCCAGTGCACTAATAGAGATTTATATGGTTTGGAAAAGATGCAAACCAAGATTAAATCTTTATAAAGTTCACTTAGAAAAAATTGAGCTGTCCTTTCAAACAGCATTTTTAGATGGTGATAAAAATTCAGAAGTGTAACTAGCTGGCTGGCCTGTTACGTAATCAACCCCTTTCATGAAGAGTCTTCTTTAGGTGTAACATGGAGGAATTAAGCATGTGCAGACATTAAAATAATAGCTGATTGTTCTGTTATTTAATTTACTGGGTAGTTGTGATTTGTCTACAGGATATTTATCATTGCTAATTGTATTTCAATAAGTGACTATTTGAGTGAGATCTGGAGTCTGAGAATAGAAAAGGATAGTTCATGGAGATTAAAGATGCCCCTAGATGAGTGCACCCTTAGCAACATTGGCTGAAGGTGCCATTTCCCATTGATACGAACATTTGACTTTTAGAAAGATTCAGAAGGAGGGTTTGTGCCCCCCCCCCCCAAGTTTGGCTATCTTTGGCCAGTGCCTATTCAGCATCAGCCTAAAGCTAGCTGTGACCTAGATATAGGAAATGTGTATTTGATTTTCCAGACAAGGTTTGTATAGTTTGAGTGCTAATTCTATAGTGACTTTCAGATCTAGTGAAAAATTCAGAATTGGGCTAATTGGGCTAGAAGTTCCGTTTAAATGCTTTAAATATTCTTGTACACAAGAGTATTTTCATAAACTAACAGAAAAGGGAAGTTAATATTACTTACGTGGTTATTTTTGACTAATCATTATGCATGTGACTTTGTCCTGGTTAGAAACATAGCAGGAGTTTCTAATATATGCAGAGAAAATATGCTGAAGTATGCTCTACGGTATTGGTATCCTGCAAGGGAAATAATAACACCTTATATTTATAGCTGGAAAGATCCTTCTGAACACTTTATAAATCTGAATTAAACTAATACCTTTTCAGAGAAAGCTGATTTAGGCCAGATCGTTAAGAAGAAGGGGTTAAAGAAATGCCCTAATGTTTTTCAAAAAATCAATGGCTCCGGTGCAAATGTAAAAAGGATTGGCTCCTAAAGATATAATTAGGAGGCAGAAACTTGAGCAAATTGAGTTTGTAGAGCTCCTGGTAATTCCTTGGCATGTACTTTTTAGGTGACATCTATAATTTCCTTTAAAATCTTCCGTCTTCATTTAGCTTATGCCTCTACTGCATGCTTGTCTCTGTAAAAAAAAAAGTTTATCAGAGAAAATGTTGTCTGTTGCATTCAGTCTACAGATTATGTGAGTGCTTTTTGAACCATTTCTGTTGCACATGGCATTTTGTCAAGGTAAAGTTCATATACAGTATTTCCGTTTTCAGTGAATTCCATTATCTCCAGCTGCTGCCACCTTTTTGAGCCTTTCATTCATTCATACATTCATTCATTCATTCATTCATTTGCTTGTGTGAAAGCTGAAAACAAACTCATCCACTTAAAACGATTATGCTGCTTCCTTTTTCATAGCTGAACTAAAAGGAATATTGTGCTTTGTGCATTACAGATTGTTGCCTCCCGTTTTTTTCTGCTTTCTTAATAAATCCCTTGACTTTTTTTCTGTTTTGCTTCCATTTTTGTTGCTTCTTGTTCTTTGCTTGCAAATCCAAAACAAAGGCAAGCCTGGTAAGTATTGCTTTTGCCAAATTTGGCACCTGCATATTGCATTTTTTAAATTTATTTTTATTTTATTTTGGCATTTACTTTTATGTATTTGCTCTATCTTCAGATGATCTCTGTCTTCTGATATCTACAGGGAATGTAGATATAAATCTTATTATTTCTAACAGTAATAGTGGTTAAAGGATGACTAGATACTGCAAGCGTTGATGGATTTTTTTATGGTGATATACATTATTCCATTTCACTTCAGGAATAGGGTGCAGAAAAAATATTGTTATTAATTGGCTATATTACAAAAGTTTCCACAGTACTTACAGTGGCAGTGGGGCATCATAAAAAATCTAATAAGAAACTGTTTTTTTACTCGGATAATTTCACATGATTATTTTGGCCATCTAAATATGCAATTTAAAAAGAGTCAAGGCACTCCATTTTAGATCCTACCTACTGAATGCCCTACCTCAGCATCCCCCAACCTTTCCAGTTCAGTGGACTGGTGGAGGTGGTGGCGAGGGAAGAGGGGATGGTTTCGTGTGTGCTGCTTTTACTAATTGAAATAGTGCTTAGACTATATACTGCTTCACAGTGCTTTACAGCCCTCTCTAAGCAGTTTGCAGAATCAGCATATTGCTCCCAACAATCTGGGTCCTCATTTTACCAACCTCAGAAGGATGGAAGGCTGAGTCAACCTTGAGCTGGCGAGAATCAAACTGCTGGCAGCTGGCAGTCAGCAGATGCAGCTTCACTTGTATGAACGCTCACTAGTTGCACAGCCAAGTTCTGAATGAGTTGTGGCCCAGCACCAGGTCACGGACCTGGGGTTGAGGACCCCTGCCCTACCTGCAATAAGATGCGCAAGTTTCACTGGTAGGGACAACTCATTTACCAACCAACAGAATGTCAGACTCACTTAATGGAGAAAATAATAAAATAATTTATTTTCCTGTCCATGATCTGAATGCTCCAAAAGATGTTTGATTCTGCAAGCTTGTCACTTAGACCTACATTCTCTTTTTTCATATTCCATGGCTTTTTATTGGAACTCTGGATAAACAGATCACTTCTGTGAAGACCCTGATAATCAGTAGAGAAAACCTGGAGGCTGTCTGTTCTACCCTGGCAAAATGAAAACCTGTCCCAAATATTTTCCATTTTAGGATTTGGAACTGGCTTGAATTTAAGAAACATACCTGCTAAATGGCATAGAGGAAAATTCATCTTTGAAAAATGATCAGCAAGGGGCATATTAAATATGAAAATTAAGTTTAATCTTTCAGTATTGGCTAGCAATTTACTGCAGCCCATTGTTGGACAGGGGTGGATTAGAAGAAGCTGCTAGAAAAATATTTTTCCTCTGTGGTTAAATTATACAATAGCTATGAAACTCTTAATCTATGCTAAGGATTTCATTCAGACTGCTGATCAGAATATCAGAATAATAGAGTTGAGAGAGACCTTGGTCTTCTACTGCAATCCCCTCCAAAAATGTAAATATAAAAAAATGGGAGGGAATTTAGCTTTAAAAACATACTTCTATGGAAATGTGACTCCAATTCCATTTCTATTTTCATTTGAAAGTAACTTCTATGGAACTCAGTAGGATTTTCATTCAGATAAACACTTTGGATGGATCTATAAAGAATTCCCTATTTTGTTTAGTTTTAGGAGTGTCGGCATTAGGCTTAGTTTCACTAATGTACTAATGCAACATAGTTCTTTTGATTTGCAAAAAAAATCAAAACCACCTTCAGAACCCTTCTGCAGTTATCAGAGTCAACTAAACTTCCACAAAAGAATGGAGAAAGAAAACAAGACCAAAAAAATGACCCTCTCAACTATGCATGGGGTTTACAACATATTACTCTTGTCTAGATGTTGCCCTGTTCTGTTTAGCATGTTGTGTGGAAATCAATACAGTACTTCGAATACTGTAATATATTAGAAGAATGACAATTCTGAAAGAACAAATATTTCATGTGCAGGTGCTTAGTATATTCATACTAAATTATCAACAAGAGGTAGTGACAAATTCTCTGTTGCTTTACTTGTAAAACTGCTTCTAGCCAAGTTTTCTTCTTTTTCACTTTTCCTCAGTCACCGAATTTTACAGCAGTGTAACAGACAACTTATCCATTTGAAGATAATCTGTTTTTTTTTTTTCATTCTTTCTTTCATCTTTTTCTTTCCATACTTTTGTACTATTGTGGAGTAAAAGATATACAAATCATATATTAAAGGCATCTTTAGATTTAAGAATAAATTAGAATAACTCACTGCCATTTTGAAATATACTCAATTTATTAAAAGTGTAACCAGTTTTTTATTGTTAGTTTATAATTATAATATAAAATACAAAAGGAAATAGTGGGAAAATTGGAGAGAGGGAAGGGAAGGGAAAAGTGTAGGGAAAGTGTGGGGGGGAGGAAAGAAAAGGCATTGACTTCTGACTCTCTTTGGTACAATAAAATCAGATAATAACATAATCAAGCCTCATCTTTTTACTTTTACCTAATAATATAAACCAGCCATTTCTATAACAACAAACCTATCTAATTAAAGAATAACCAGTTCTTAATTGATTTTGCCACTATAGGTAACCCTCATTTAATGATCAGAATTGAGAGTGGCAATGCGATCATTTAATGAAGTGGTCATTAAGAAATCTTAATTAATTTTTCCCTTGCAGTAAAGACTGGTGAATGTTATAAATGCAACAAATGGTCATCGTTTCTTTCATCATTGTGAATAGTCGCTAAACAAAGACTATCTGCATCTTTATTGTTTTTATTGATAGAATTGCTCTCAGAAAAGCAATAGCAAGTGTAATTGGTTCATCATCAAATTAAGACTGCTTTATGGTATACTGTAATTATGCATGCGTGAGTGTTATACACATGCATCTAACAATAACATAATCAAAGCTGTTCAGTGTTCACATGCTGTGTAAGCTCTGATTTGCTACAGCTCTGATAAAAGTAGACACTTGATAATAACTGTAATGTAAAAATAGTGACCTTTTAAGGTGGAATGTTTGAAAAATCTGGCACACCTTCAGATTTAGGGGTGTTGCAGCCCCAAACACAGCAGGTGGATGAAACTAGATTACAATTTTAGAAAACAGGGAGGAAAAAAGAGAGAGAATACACGAATATGTGCACACTGGAGAGAAAATGAGAGGGAGAACTTCTCAGATAACTCCCAATGAAATTCAGTAGTGGGAAATTCAGGAAAAGCAGAGGAGAAATTTGCAGGGCTCACTAATAAATTGTAAAATCACTTTCACAAGATTACTAAGGGCCACAGACACATATAATGCTTAAAGGTGAGGATCAAATAAATTAATGCAGAATCAAGCTTATAATAATTTTCTGTTTCCAGAATCAGAGTAGTATGTCTTAACATGAATGGTTTTACCTAGCAGGATTCTTTTGAAGTTATTATAAATATTTGTATAGATTTGTCTGCTGTTTTATTTAAGGAACATTTGATTTTAGGGTTGAGGTGCCATTTTATAAAGTGAAATATATAGTTTTATATATTAAAAGTTTTCAGTTGAAATGAAGACTAGTGGGAGGTTTTGAGTCAGCAGAAAGAACTTCTTTTACATCGATTCACACTTTTTATTCTTGCTGAATCTATGCTGCATATTTATAGCAATGTGATTCCCATAAAAGAGCTTTTCTTTGTTAAATATTTGCTTCTGGTTACTTGTAAAGGACAAGATGTCAGTCCTGTTGCCCGATTTAAATGTTTCACTATGATAAAATATTTATCCCCATAATGAAACAATGTTTTAAATGCTTAACAGATTTACCAAGCAAACATGCCCCTCGTTCTACTTTGCATGATCTCATTTTCATGCTTTAATTTAATTTTAATTTTTTAAAAACTATTCGTTGTCTTTGAGCCTTTTAATCGTTGTCTCCTATAGAGGATGAGCAGAGAGAAAAATCCATGTCCCATCACACCGTCCAGCAACTTATTATAGAAAAAGAGCAAGCATTAGCTGATCTGAACTCTGTGGAAAAATCTCTGGCAGATCTTTTCAGAAGATATGAAAAAATGAAAGAAGTTCTTGAAGGATTTAGGAAGGTAGGTCACAGTGAATAATGATCCCATCAAAACACCCACATTCACTAAGGTGCATGTCTGGAGTTGTGTGTGGCTGCATTTTGGTGGGTTTTTTTTCCTGATTTCCACATTCACCAGCAGCTTTTGGTTGAAGATCAGATCCTTGCAGTCAGGAATTTGGGGATAAGAATTCTTCTTGGATGTGATAGTTCACAAGTTTCCTTTCCATCCTCAGTGCTTCTTCTGACAGAACATTTCTATAATAACGCATTTGTTAGGGCTTTATATAGCAACCATCCTTAATCTAATAACCAGAAGTGCATCAACCTGAAAGTGCTGCCACCTAGCTCTAGTAAAAGGAAAAAACAGCCAAAGAAACTTTTTACATAAACGTTTGTACATATTGCAAGAATAAGCATAAACAGTTTATAGTAGGCCTTTGGATTCAGTGAAGTCACACTGTTGTGCAGTATATCTATGAGCACTGAGATAGCTCCGCAGTTCCAGTCTGGAGATGCAGTGACTAGTACAATGGGGACACTGAAAGTACATTGTTATCATAACTGTGGTGGGGTCAAGATTATACGTTATTCCCTGATTTATGCAAAAAATATAACTTGAACTAATTTTCCCTTAATTGATTTTCTATTCATTCACTGTGTTTTAAAAGCAGCTGTGTACTTTACTTTGCCAAAAATCCAAAGCAACCATTTTCTGTAGAGTTGACATTGCAGAAAAGGGATTCTTAAGATGGCTTGAGCTTCATATGCCAGGCATGGCCTGTAGAATTCATATCGAGATGGCTGCTTAGCATTTATACACTGCATTTATACATTATATTTCTGTTTCCCTTGTTTTAAGGAAATATTTTATGTCTGCTTTCAAAAAAATGATCTGCTACCTAAAATTGTAGAGCATGGTCAAAAGCCTACAACTTACTGTGAATCCCTTATGGTCTGTTGTTAAGCTATTTTTATGTTTCCCATTAAAGAATGAAGAAGTATTAAAGAAATGCGCACAAGAATATTTATCACGAGTTAAAAAAGAAGAGCAGAGATATCAAGCCCTCAAGGTTCATGCAGAGGAAAAACTGGACAGGTATTTTGTTAGGGCTTGGGAGGAATCCTGCATTTCAACCAAGAACTTAAGGGGCATGCATAAGCGCACAATTGTGCGTACTGTCCCTGTCCTATTATCCCCAATTATTAGTTCCTATTTCTTACATTTAAACTATGTTTATTCTTATTTCTATTGTATTGTAAGCTTTTTGACAAAATAAATAAACAAAAAAACAAACTTCTGTTCTGAAATCTATTGTAAACTAATTCTGGAGCTTTCTTTTTTTATCTGGTTCTTGTCAGTACTTGCATATAATTTTGACCTGACTCCTATAAAATGTATCCTGTCATTCTTTAAGGTTCCCCTCCATTTTGACCCCCTACTTTTTAAAACATTCAGGAAAGATTCAGTTAAGCACCGTATCAAACCTTACCTAATACAGTATAATGTAATATACTGATATACCGGTATGGTACTGAAATTCATAAAGAATTATGCGTGTGTCTCACAAGTTACAATAATATATGCTTTTCATAAATGTATACAAAACCTTGCCAAGAAAACTTTAGGAACTAGTCTGGCCAGTTGCCAAGAGTCCACACTTGACATGAATGCATAAGAGAGAGGGAGAGAGGTTCCTTGGCACTCAATATACCTGTGTTTCTGCAGAGCCAATGCTGAAATTGCACAAGTTCGGGGAAAGGCTCAGCAAGAACAAGCAGCTTACCAAGCCAGCCTTCGTAAAGAGCAGTTAAAAGTGGATGCGTTGGAAAGAACACTGGAACAAAAGGTGACTAGCTCTGAACTGTACAAAGCTGCTTGTAGAGGAATCTCTGGGTTTGGTAGCTGCTTCCTAACAGATACAGATATGTACTTTAGAAATGTAAAACCATCAATCTTTTTGCTGTCAAATGCTATCCTCAAAAACTTCAAGAAGTCTTTAAATTGGTTTGGGATGCTGGTGGTGGATCTGCCTCAACAGTTCGATATTATCTGTTTATCAAATTTATTGACCAGCCAGGGTAACCCTGGGCCAAGTTGTCTATGGATGGTGGCTAATTGTCTGTGATGGTGATGTAGTAATATCAGAGAGAGGATGCTAGATTTCACTGTGTGTGTTTAGGCAGTTCAAGGATCGGGTAGGCTGTGCCTTATTTTACTGTTTATTAGGGCTGTATAGCATTTCATGCTTAAAATCCAAAACATTGGAATGGGAGGAAGTGTTAATAGTACATCTCTATGCAATGCTTCAAAGCTGCTGGATCGTTTCCCATATACTTTGTCCTTTTTAGTACAAAGGCCTGTTGGAGATCAAAACTAAAGCACTGCATCATCATATTATTTATCTGCTTTTAATGAAACAAGTTAAAGTGCTCACACCAGCCTTAATTCATGGATGGGTGACTGTGGCTTATTACAACATTTGTCAGCCTCAACAACTTTAAGATGTCACTAGACAACCCATGACCCGTTGGCTTATCGTTTTAAGGATTATTTCCTTATTTAAGCAGAGAAACAGAATGACCAAAAGAGCAGTGGAAGTCCTCACTGACTTTCCTTAGAGAAAACTGAGAGGCAGGGGTGGGATTCTACCAGTTGGCTAGAACCAGTTGTTAACATGATAAGCAGTTTGGAGAACCGGTTGTTAGAAGAAATTACTGGCCTAACTCGAAGGAAGGCAGGAAGAAAACATTCTGTTCTTGCTCTCTCTGTCAACCCTTTTCACATTCTTGGCATGACTAGACTTCCTGTCTCTGGAACTTCTCTGGAGTTTTTTTTCCTCCTTTGTGCTACTTTGCTTGTGTGGAGTGACCATTCAAAGTTACAAGGGCACTGAAAAAAGTGACTTATGACCATTTTTCACACTTACAACTGTTGCAGCATCCCCACAGTCATGAGAGGCCAGGCGAGGAGATGCATGCCTCGATGTGAGTGATATTGAGTTGGCCACGCCTAGCCAATAACATGACCAAGCCACACCCACCAACTAAGCCACGCCCACAGAACTGGTTGTTAATTTGAATCCCACCCCTGCTGACAGGGTGTGTTGGAAATGACAATCATGAAATCATAGCTGACCATGGCAGTGCAGCAGTGCAAAACCACTGAAGCAGCCATAGTTTTTCCAAATTTCAACCCTACAGGAGTCACAGGTCCCAAATTTTGGATGCATTAAAATGTTACACCCTTGGAGGTATGTTGATTCAAAAATTGTTGCGCTATGATCCACCACTATGCCCAATTGAAGGTTACAGTCAAACAGACAAGTATTTCAGTAGTATATAGATTCTGGGAGAATTCTGAGAGTTGAAGTCCCTTAAAGTTGCTGAGGTTGAAAAGCACTGGCTTAGCCTATTGATAGCAGAAAATCTGGCTTCTAGGAGGCAATGGTTTATCCTTTTAGCATAATTTCAATGTAAGAAAAGATTTAGGCATAAAAGAACATAAAACAAAAGCTTTCCTGAAAGATCCAAGAGTGATGTGCTTAAGCAAAGATGACTGGTATAAGCAGAACTGAATTGCAGACAGATATTGCTCTTTCCCCAGAATGTACAACAAATGTTATTTTCAGAATTGAAAAAGAGTGCAGTACGGCTTTTAACCGAAATATGTTTATTCTTTCTTCCTGTGTATGTGTGTGTGTTTTTTTAGAATAAAGAAATAGAAGAGTTGACGAAGATTTGTGATGAACTGATTGCCAAAATGGGGAAAAGCTAACTTTAAACCAAAACCCTAAATTACAATCTTGAGTGCAATATGACCATTGGCACAGTGATATCCAGACAGCGATGTGAACGGATTCTATTTTCACTTTTTGTATGCACTACTGTATTTTTTCTTAATAATGTTGATTTGATTGTATGCAGTACAAAGACTATCAGAAATCCTTGCTATTGTCTGCAATTCTTTCCTTTGTATAATTCATAGCAAGTTGATCTCAAAAGTTCCTGTATCAGGGAGATTTGTCAAGTTCTTTAATAAATTACAGTTGCTCATCCTCGCCTTCCCTTTGTACATGAGTTCCCATGTTGGATGTCTTTTTTGGATTTAATATAAATGTGTATTACATGCATGGGGACTCTTGCCTTAAGGAGTGTAAATTTGATCTGCATTTTCTGATTTGTAAAATAAAATGGAAACTTGAAAAATTAAAGTACTTGCCTCTGTGATACTTACCACAAATAATTTTTCCCTTCCAGCTTGAAAATGGATTTCATATTATTAATTGGGACTTTGAAAATCAGTCTAAATTGAGTAGCACCAGCTTTTTATATATTATTCTGTTATTTCATTGGTATGAAAAACATTATTTCTCAGAATACCAATACAGCCAAGGTGCTTTAGAGATCACCCAGGTATACTGTATACAAAACTCCCAAGAGAATATAATAAGTGATATATTTTAAAAATCTACTAGTATAAAATATGTGACTTTTCTTCTGAATGCTTGTACAAATGATGCTAGGGCCGATACAAGTTACTGGAAATATTTGACTTTAAAAGTTCCTGTGCTTTTTTTTTTTTTAAATGTAAACACTAACATTATATTAAACATGATAACTTCTAAAATCACAGCAAGGTAATAGTATATAAAACTATTAGTACCAACAAAGTAATATCTAAATTTTGAATGAATTATAGCTACAAAGAATACACTGCAGGAGATTGGCCCATCAAGGTTCTATATTCCTGCGCAAAGCCTAGTTATGTGCATTCTAGCAAGGGATACTTAAGCTATGAGCAGCATCTGGGCATAAACTGAACCTGAGCAACCAGGACCTCTAATCGGAGGTAGGATCAATCTGGTTCACATGTTTTCATAAAAGGAACAGTGAACTAGAACATGCTCTGTAATTTCCACCTCTCTGAGATCACAGAGGCAGTTTTTTTCACCCAATGGCCACTTTTTAATCTATACTGCAGAGTATTCCAGTGCACTAATAGGGATTTATATGCATGCACAGAGCCATCAGAAGAAGGGAACAGTTAAGGAACAAGGGTCGACTTGGGAGTAAAGGCACAGGTGGATGGTGAATGGGCCCTTCCCATAGGGAATAAATAGGAGCGAAAGGGGAGTGGTGTTTGCAAGAGACAGTTCTTTTAATTAATGTGAAGATTTGTTTATCTGTGACTCACAGAGACTCCTTGCCAAGTATTTCCTTGTACAGTGTTGCGTTTGGAAGCTATCGGCCTGGCAATTCTCCAAGCCTGATAAGTTCTGTGGTTGCAATTCATCCTTGAAAGACTTTGTCGGGACTTGGTTGGATGTGAATGATAGGAATTCACATTAGCCAAATAAAAAGGGGTTTTGTCGGGACAAGGAGTCTGTTTCGTGATTTTGTGAAGCCTAGGTCAGAACAATTGCTGCCTCAGTTCTTGAAGAGGAAGCGCAGCCTAGATTTAAAATATTAGATTCAACAGTCTTGATCCATGTGGATTGCAAATTGTCCTGAAGAATTAATGGTGCTAAGTCTTGAAGACAGAAGTTGAGCTTTAGCCAAAGGTTTAAAGAAGCTCGGCGCACTCTTGACTCAACTTTGATCATACCTGTTTCCATTCATAGATGTGCATTTGAGATACAGCGTGGGATTTGGAAAGCTTCTCTGATGAATTTGGATCCTACCATCTCCAGAGAGGTGAAACACAAGATTGGGGGTTGGGGACAGAATCCATAAAGGACCTGGACTGGAAGCTTCTCTGAAACAGCTTAAGTACCACTAGAACATAATGTCCTCCCTTGGACTGGAAAAAAATTTAAGAACGGCATTGGTGGATCTTTGACCAATAGCAGTGGCATATTAACAGTAGGCTTCCAGCAAGCCAGAGGCATGCATGACTACTCTTAAATACTTAAAGCTAATCACTAATTCAATCTTGTGGCCATTAATGCTCCATAACCAGAGCTTCAATCTTTTAGCAAAAATCATAATCTTGGCTTTATGATAGTTTATTGCCAGATTATTATTGTTGCAATATTGGACCAAAGTTCTCAGATCTCATTTAAGGTCAGTTAGTGTCCTGAAAAGAACTACAGTGTTGTCTGTATGGAGCAACAGGGCTATGTTGTGATCCCCTAGTTTAGAGGGATGGAAGTTTGGGTTGTTTAGACATCTCCCCACATTGATACAAAAATTGAAAAGTGGGGGGAGGGCAAAAATCTTTGTTTCATCTCCTTCTGAGCTTTAACTGGCTTCAAGAGAAACTTTTGCATAATACAACTGACCTTAAAAGTTACAGTAATGTTTAGCTTGAATTAACTGAAGACGCCTATGGTTTCTCATAATTTGACCTTGGTTTACAACTGGAGCGCTCATTCTCACTAGGGTGGAGTATATGTGAGCTTAATACTCAGTCCACAATAAGGCAGTAAAATGGATGATGAATTCAACAGCTGATTTTTGTCACAATAGCTTTACATTTAGTAGAAAATAAACAGGAACATTTCTGACTTCTCATATATTGGCTGATCTATTAGAATCCGGTTAAGTACTGAATAGCTCAGCAAGCTAAGAATTGTGCATCTGAAAACGTTTATGCATATACTCCCATAAAATACCAATTAGTACTCCATTATTTTTAGGAAATAGTGAGAAAAACATGGGTGTTTGGACAGATGAGATGTTCCCTTTTAGATAGTTGATAAAAAGTATTTCCTGAGAATGCTAGAGATATGAAGGAATACATCTGTCTTGAAGAGTAGCCAGAAAAAAAAACAGATTACAGTATACCCTGCACCATTTAGCCCCTACATGATCCTCTAGAGAGGATTAACTATGCTGAATAAGCATTAGAGCGTAAATGACAATCAGTTGTTTTGTCTAACAATACTTTTGTTGACTCTCCATGATGAAGCCATTCATCAGCTTCGTCCTTCTCAGCTTTCTTTTCACCATAGAAAGTAAGTAATTTTGTTCCATGTTTCTTCTCTCACTTACCATAATTCAGGATTTAAACATTCCAGATTTACAAATAATAATAATGCTTTTTAAGGTAGCTTAGAATAGTTAATAACCAATTACTTTCTACTGGTCTTTTCTTTTCCATCTTTGAGATTCAAGAGGAGTCTAACTGGATAGCTTCAATTATTTTAAACATAAATTAACATTTCTTCTTGGAGCAAATTCCTATTTCTTAATTACAGCTTTACATATGTGTGTGCACACAAACTTGTAAATGAAGTATGGAACTAATACTTTGTTACTTAAGGTCTTTAGTGGCCTAGTATCTAAATTCCCTCCTCAGAATTCATAACTACAGATGTAAAAGGGAAAAGAAGTTATCCTGTTGAAATCTTGATATTTACATGATTAGGGTTTATCTTTTTGTGCTTTTTTCCAGACTGAACTTTACAAAGAATTGCATGATACAATTTTGAATTTTCAAGAACATAGGGAAATATATTCAGTTTTAAAATATTTGTAGTGAGTCTATTCTTCCATCAAGTGGAAACCATAACTGCCTTCTTTAAAATGACTGAAATCACTTATATTACTGCTATCAGATGTTTGTATTGTAGTTAAAACTGTCTCCTGGTAGAGAGAATCAAAGCTGATTTGTTTTCACTGCAAATAAAGCAATTCTTTTTTTTATGTATATAATAATAATATCAGGTGAGGGGCTGCAGTGCTATACGTGTGCAGGTGCAAGTAATGAGGAGTGTAACGAACAAGGCTCTGAACAATGTCCAGGACATTCTGATGCTTGTGCAATCATCAGAGGACAATCAAGTAAGTGCTCTATAATAACCACCATCTGAAGTTAAATTGGTTAAATTCAAAGTGTGTCAAACAACAGAAGAATATGTCAGTATTGCTGTTGTTGGCTCAAGAGCAAGAAATTGAATCAAATTTTGAACAAAATATAGAAACTGGAAGCCATTCGTGTTTTATCATTAGCATTGTTGATAAATTCCAAATATACCTTTTGCACAATGACTGGATTTGTGTCTGCCTGTGGATAGAATGTTCACTTTTTTCCTCTTTTACAAAAAAAGTCATTCTGTAAGAATAAATGACTTATCTGATGTTAAGACTGATGAATAATAAATAAATGGTTTATCTGAAACTTCAGTTAGCAAGAAGGATTTTCTACTTATAAGTAGCCCAATGGTGCATGGAAGGTTCTACTTTTTTCTAAATAAAAAAAAGGTATGTAGTTTTGTACAGATCCACCTGTGTTTGATGTAAATCAAACAAAATGCAAGAGAAGGGCAAAATGTCCTTAAAGTTATTTCTTCCTTGAACTGTCCCTCCCTCAGATAAGCACTTCAAAGAGCCAAGATGTTCTAATTCAGGCTAATAAGATAAAGGAGCAGATAAGCACTGACAGTAAATATCTTGGATTTGTCTCTGAATCTGTTCTAGGTGGCATTATGAAGTCCTGCTCATATAGGTCATTCTGTGACCGAGCCCGGCGAGGAAGTTCACAAGCTCCTGGAGTGAGCGTTTACTGCTGCTACTCAAATAACTGCAATGCCAAAGGCCTGGGATCCAGAAACATTCTCTCGATGGGTTACTTCTCTCTCTTTGTCCTTTTTGTCTTCTGGCACCTGCTGTTTAATCTGAACTGATACACTCAAGCCAGAAAGGGATGGATAAAAGATTGCAAAACCCAACTTTCCAAACTATATTTAAATTCCAGAGACAGGAAGGATCCTTGTGAGCACAGCGCACATCCTATAATCTAATTCAGTGGACACCCTGGGAGAAACTCACCATGGTTTGATTCAGGAAAAATGCAATAAATAGAAGAGTCTATGTCATTAGAAGATGACAATATTGTATGGAACTGAGCTACAAAGATGATATTAATTATCACTGGAAGAAACATGTGGTTTAAAAACTGGTCCTGCTTACTTTTCTTCTTCTTTATAATGCCCACACGTTGAATCAATTAGCGGGAAAGGGAGGGGGTTTCCAGCAACCTGTCTTTCTTTTTCCACCCAATACATTTAAGCATCTGCAGCCAGGAAATTAAATGCTTGTGGTCTAGAAGTTAGAATTTGCAGAGTCGGGGTTTTAGGTTGGATGTCTTTGTGTGTGCAGTTGGATACTGAAAGATTTTCTCACCACAGTTATATTTTGTAAGTATGTATGAACAACAAAGTGCCATGATCTGGGCAGTGACACTGGTGTGGGGGTAGGGCCCTCAATG